GGGAAATAAAAAGGAAAGAGAAGAACAAAATGAAAATAAATAAGAAAATAACAAAAGTAAAAACGTGGGTTGCCTCCCACGAAGCGCTCGGTTTAAAGTCGTGAGCTCGACTTTCCCGTCAATTCATAGTCAACCAGGCACGGTTTGACGAGCTCCTACAACCTCATCATGCTCGTCAAAGAAAACATTCGCCCATTTACTCTTTGGGGGCACCGGGAAATTCTTCTTCAACTTATCATTAAAATTCACCCCTCCCGGTTTCGCACTTTCACCATTTAACTTCTTTTTCGCCCCCTCTTGCCCGGTTTCGAACCATTCCCCTTTCCAACATCATTCTTCTTACGCAACTCCTCAAATTTCTCTTCAACACCATCATTAATATTCAATGCCGACCCAACTACCTTCTTCTTCTCACCAACACCATTGCAATTAACAAAATTAGAAAGGGAATCGGGATGTACCATTTTGTCCATGTCGTCCATAAATGAGCATTGGCCAACTTTGGGTGGAGACTCTCGAGCATTGTTCATTGTGAATGTGACTGTCTCTCCATGAGCCGAAAGGGTGACTCGTCTATCCTTGACATCGATAATGGTGTTGGTCGTCGCCATGAAAGGTCGTCCAAGCAAAATTGTGTGCTCCTTCCCGGTATTCGGAACATCTCCCACGTCAAGGACCACGAAGTCTACCGGCACAACGATAAACCCAACTTTGACCAACACATCCTCAATTATACCCTTTGGTTCCCTCAATGTACGATCCGCTAGTTGGAGACTCATTCGAGTTGGCTTAAGCCCTTGCAACCCCAATTGCTTGTAAATCGAGTAGGGCATGAGATTGATACCGGCCCCCAAATCTAACATCCCGGTTGTCGCCTTACCATTCCCAAAGGCTATCCTCATCACAAAAGCTCCCGGATCGCACTCCTTCTGAGGTATAGTGGTAGAAGCTACCTCGAAAATCATGACTTTTTCATTGTCCTCAAACCTCCGCTTTTTCGAAGTTAAGTCCTTGAAAAATTGCACATATGCCGGAACATTCTTGATAACATCTAAGAGTGGGAGATTGACGTTTACCTTCGAGAGCATGTTGAAAAGGTCCTTGAATTGACGATCATTCTTCGTATTTTTCAAACGGCTCGGGTAGGGAACCGGCGGCTTATAAGGTGTAGCCGACTTGTGTAAGCCCTCATGTGTATCCATCTTCGACTTCTCCTTCTCAATCCCCTCATCAACAATTGCCTTACCCTTCGAGACCTCAACCTCCTCAATCGGTTCTTCCTCATCCTCGACAAGAGTCTCCTCCCCCTCATTCTCCCTAGGCATTTCCACACGATTATCAACATGCCTACCACTCCTCAACACCGAGATAGCATTGACGTGCTCGAGTTGGCTCGGGAGCTTGTCTTTCATCTTACTCCTTTGCATCTCACCGAGTGAAGTCCCGAGTTGCCCCACTTGAGTCTCGAGGCATTTGAGGGAAGCTTGGATTGAAGGTACGCTCTTAACCGCATCATGGAGAGTGGACACGGTCGATGCAAGGCTTTGAAGGTACTTCTCCATATTGTCGATGCGAACGTCCGAGGGATTCTCCTTAGTCTCATTTTCGGGCTCCGGTTGAGGTGGCATTAGTTGCCTTGGAACAAATCCTCCTCGGGGTTGTTGGAATCCTTGGAATTCGGGCCTCGGTTGGTAGCCTTGGAATTCGGATCTCGGTTGATATGGTTGGTTTTGAGGAGGTGCGTAGGCTTGAGGTGGTGCATAGGCTTGAGGTGGTGCCGGTTGAGGTGGATAGTTTGTCTTCGGGTCCCTCCAAGAGAAATTAGGGTGATTCCTCCACCCGTCATTGTAGGTGTTCGAATATGGATCATTTTGAGCTCGGGGGGAATACCCTTGCACGGCATTAACATCAAAAGGGACCGTCACAACATTCGGGTCATAAACCGGCTCCATATAACGTGGACACTCATGCCCTCCGTGCCCCATCTCTCCACAACAACCACACACCTCCGCCATAACTACTTGAGTCGACTTTGCATCACGAAGACGAAGGTGTTTGAGCTCCTCCTCCAATGAGGTTAACTTAGCCAACACGGCATCATTAGACGAACTGGACGATTGTGTAGCCTCATTCACCGGAGTCCTCTTGCGTACGCTCTTCCTTTGAGAATTTTCGCTCAACATCTCATACAAGTCATATATCTCCTCGGCCGTGTGACTCCCAATATCTCCCCCGGCCGCATGGTCCACCATGTATTGGAGGGTTTGGTAGAGCCCATCATAGAAGAATTGATTCAACACGCCCAAGCAAAAGTGATGATATGGGCATTGGAGTTGATAGCCCTTGAAACGCTCTCATGCTTCATGAAAGGTCTCGCCCGGGTTTTGGCTAAAGCTAGCCATTTGTGCTCGGAGATCGGTTGTCGTTTGATGCGAATAGTACTTGCCCATGAACTTCTCATAGACAGCTTCCCACGTGTTGAGTGAGTTCGGAAGCAATGTCATGAACCAAGTCTTGGCCCGATCTTTCAAAGTATAGGGGAAACATCTCATTCGAAGTTGGTTTTCGGTTAAGCCTTGGAGAGGGAAAGTGTTGACCGTGGAGTAGAAATCTCGGATAAAGTTGAGTGCATCCTCTTGTGCGAGGCCATAGAACGGGGGAAGTTGGTTGAGGTGGATCGTCTTGAGATCATAGTTTCGGGCTGCCTCCCCAAGCACAAGGCACGAAGTGTTGTCTCCAATGATTGGTCGTGCAAAGTACCTCATGTTTTGGGGTGGTTGTGGCAATTGATCCCCTTGTCCCGCCATTGGTTCGGGTTCGGGCTCCGGTTGGGGTTCGTCTATGTTGAGCTCAACGAAAAGATGTGACGGTGGAGTCTTCTCTCGGGTTGCTTTCTTCCGTCTACCTCGCATAAACACAACCAACAACTATACCCGTGAATGCACCAATGGAAAACAAGAGCAAAACACAATCAACAAAAACAAACTATCTACAAAAGCAAG